AATCCCACTCAGGGCATGGATGTTTGTGTGCGTTTTTCTGTGTTTGTCTACAGGTAGAGGCCTTGCGACGAGCTGATCACGCGTTCAAGGGGTCCTACCGTATGTGTAAGGTCTAGTAAACAGAAGTGAAACGGAGAGTTTCATGGAGATAGGCCTAGGCCCAAATTGGGGCTGTAGCGCCACAGGAAAAAATGTGTAGGTAGAGGCCTTGCGACGGCCTGGTCCTTGTCCAAGAAACTGTAAAAGCGACCAAGGCCCAACAAAGGGATAAAGAACCATAATAATAATAAAGGTTACCCCATTAATAATCTATTCTAGAAATGTTTCAGACAAAAAAAAAACGCACGAAGAGGGGTCACAGTAATTTCATATGTGGTCAGATTTGGTGCCAAAGTTTTGCGTCCGAACCGTATCCAAATTGGAAATGAAACGCCACGTGACCTGCTAAGAAGAACACGCGGCGAAACAGTGTGCCAACAACTTTTAAATTCACCCTTCCCTTGAATACACGTGCAGAATATTTTTTATCCATAAAAATATATATACACGGTATATTGGTTGTTGCTTTGGTGCTTTTATATTCATTAGGGAAATTGATGATTGATCGACTGACTGGCCCTGGGGTGTATTAATCACGTCATTACTTAATTGAGGGGTTCCCACCCCCGCCCTCTGTTTTGAAGGGGGTTGGACGCTCGGGGTTATAAGGGTATCGCGTTACCCAACACGCCCTCAGTCACGTGACCTAGCACGTGTAACGTGCGCATGCGCGCAGCGAATAACATCAGCGGCCAGATGATGGGGAACATGACAAGTGCGGGGGATAGGGGTGGAAATTATGAATACGCAGAGAGTTCTGAAGCCTTACTTTCTCCAATGCAGAGACTTAGGCATATGCGTGTGTTGGGTAGACAGAGAAATAGGCTGGACACCGTTTCGTCACGGAATTAGCTATTATAGCAAATCCTTACTAACCACGTGAGTTACGTTTTTCTTAAACATGGCGTTAGCAAAGCCTCGAACTCTAAGTCGAGGTAATTATAGCAAATTGTGGGTTATGGATAACGCTGCCTCAGTGACTGCTCAACAAAACCTAGTTAAGTTTCTTGTTACTTCGTTAAAACCAAAAATACATGACAGCATGTTTAAAAATAATGAACTAGTAACAAAATTGACACAAAAAGACTCACCGCAATCCAACATGGACTCCGAGGAAATTGTTTCGGTTACCATTAAATCCTGACTGTACTAAATGTTGTCTCTTAATGTGAAGAACACGTTTTCTTCGTTGCTGTTGGTACAAAAAAAAATACATCCGTGGTTGCACAAAACCAAATTTCGCTGTTAGCAAAATTAGGTAAAAATGTAAAACCGACGGATATTTTAAATCCGGGGTTCACAAACCTTGGTTTAGCTGTATTTAAAGTTAATTTATACATACAATACTTTCAAATTTAATTAATCTTATTAAACTTCGAATATGCGTACATAGAATTCCTTTTTTTTTCAAAATTATTTTTTCTTGTTCTCGGTAAAAGAATCTTAAGGCCCTGAACTTGGATCTGCATTGACCTGGAGCCAAGAGAGGCCCAAACATTATGGTCTTGGCCCTGTGTTGCAGGATCGTTCGGAACAAGGCTGCAGAGAAGGCGAAGCATGTCCACCACCAGCAGCAGCAACAGTCAGCGGGCGGTACAGGTCAGCAACAACAGCAGCAGACAGGCTCTGTTTCCGTCATCACACATGCACCAGCGTCCTCGGTACAGGCGCAACAGCACCACCCCGGGGGCCACCATGACCCCCAGCGACCCGGCGCCTACAGCATCAACGGAATCCTCGGCATTCCTCAGCAACAGCAGCAGCAGCAAGCGGACCCCAACGGAAACAGCATCACGAAACGCAAGAGGGAGGACCACCATACAGGTAGGAGGCTGACAAGCTACTGCTTGTTGCTATGGCAACCAGATACTGCAAACTGCATGGTCTATGCTGTTGATGTGAATCTACTGGGAGATAACAGGAATACACAGGAACTTTAATTGACGCAAGTAAAGGGGTTGGTCTAGAAGTAAACACAGAGAAAAGTAAATATATGTTGCTGTCTCGTCACCAAAATGCAGGGCAAAATCATGACATAAAGATAGGCAACATATGTTTTGAAAATGTGGCACAGTTCAGATATTGAAGGGGGACAGTAATAAATCAAAACCTGATTCAGGAGGAAACTAAGAGGAGATTGAACTCGGGTAATGCTTGCTACCATTCAGTCCAGAACCTTTTGTCTTCTCGTCTGCTGTCCAAAAACATAACAGTTAGGATACCTAAAACTATAATCTTGCATGTGGTTCTGTATGAGTGTGAAACTTGGTCTCTGACATTAAGATAGGAACACAGACTGAGGGTGTTTCAGAACAGGGTGTTGAGGAGAATATTTGGACCGAAGAGGGATGAAGTGACGGGAGTTTTTTTTATTGTTAGTGGGGTGGGACTAAGTCCCTTGTACTGCGGCCACTTCTGGCCTATTATACCAGCCCCAGATGATAGGTGAGGGTGGCTGTGGAGCAATTGATGGAATGAAGATTGGCAGGGGAAACCGAAGTACTCGGAGAAAACCTGCCACAGCGCCACTTTGTCCACCACAAATCCCACTTGACCAGATCCGGGATCGAACCCGGGCCGCCGCGGTGGGAAACCAGCGACTAACCGCTTGAGCTATGGCGCGGCCGTCAGTGACGGGAGATTGGAGAAAACTGCATAATGAGGAGCTTCATAACTTGTACTCTTCGCCAAGTATAATTAAAATAATGAACTTAAGGAGGATGAGATGGGCACGGCACGTAGCACGAATAAGGGAGAATATAAATTCATATAGAATATGAATAAACCTTTTACATGGACTGATTTGAAAACACCGTTTCCAACAGTACCTCTATTGTGCGCCGATTCGTTGCTGAGGGAACGTGTTTACAGAGCCGTTGCCTAGAATCGGCCCTATTATATTTACATATCTCGCTGTCGTTGCATACTAATGGCTCTGCAAGCTACAACATTATATCCCTCCCAACAACATTTGAATCGTTTGATGTAGTTCTATTAAATTTTCTATTTCTAGTTACGCTCATATCGCTCCCATATCACCATATGCCACCATGGAAAGTGTTACTAGAGGTCTCAAACCCGAGACCAGTGTAGTAGTGAGTGTGGATTGAACGAAAACATGTCTTCGACCCAATTTTCTCTCCGCCATATTTCCTCGTGGAAGCGACGCCGAGGGGACGACGCGAGAGTCTAAGAAGTGCCGACTAATTAGTAGTTGAAACTTCTGTTCATAGAGGCCGACACCCGTACGGCCATTAGTCAAAACATCCGTTTCAAATCACCACCCGCTCTTGGAGTTTTGCCGAATAGAACGCTGAAACCAACCCGACTTCCTTGTGTGTGTGTGTTTTAAATTCTATTACGGACCATTTAACGTCTAGAGAAGTTGTGGCAAACTATGATCCATGGACCACAAGTGGCTCTTCAGATTGCCTCCTCGTGGTTAGAAACGAAAAATCGTAATATATGTAAGTGACCAGATGTCCAGGAGTTTCAGGAGTTGATGGCGAAGAGGCAGAAGACCCTATTGCATTAAATTTCAGATCTTCCGTCCTGAATCAGTCAGCAACTTAAACATTTATCTTTTTTTGAAGAAAGCAGTCTTCTGGGATTTAGCACCGTGTATATGTGGTGTTAACCGACGTTTCGGAGGAACGTATCGCCTCCATCTTCAGGGTAGAAGAAAAAATATAAGAAATCTGCAAGCGAAGAGACCGTGAGAACCGGTAAAAGCAG